GTAAATACCTATTTACGAACATAATTATTTATAATCTGCAATAAAGTCTTGTTTATGATGTCGTTACTTTTAAGTGTTTGGTGATGCTTTCATTTTACTTAGAATTGTTGATAGTTGCAGAGGGTTGTTGGAGTCATAAACTGGTCTCAGTTAGACCACCGATGAAAACCAAGAGGCTACTGACAAGGGGACTCTTCAATGTGGTATGCATCCATGATCCAGCCGCTGGAGACCAAACACATGATCTCCAAGCTCGTGCGCTAACCTATAATCGCTATCACTCCCCGATTTGTAGTGTGCGTGTTTAAATTCAGTCAATTCGTGATATTGCGTAACAATGTTCCATTGTCTTCGGTGGGTACCTTCCTTAAAACCGTTATAATTGAACTTCACATTGGTCACAGTTTCTCACAGGAATTATAGAATTACCTCTCAGAATTAGTCACTAGTGTAAATTTAACTATTATTATTAGCATAATATGTTTATCATTTCTTGTCAGTGTGTGTTAAAAGATTCATCTTTGTTTTATCGAAATTATGTAACCCTGTTTTTGATATATTTGAGAAAGCTGACGAAATAGATAAACTATGTTTTATTTATACCAATGATTGTATAAGCAATAATTATGACAAAATTTCAATGGTAATTAATTGCAATGTTTATTTGCTTGTATATTATCCTTAATGTGTATTAATTTATGGACAAACAAATAAATATCTATGGCATTATACCTACCATTATACACATCTATATTCCCTTAAATAAGATTAATTTTATTTTGACTATTTTAGATTTCACTGATTGAAATCATGAGTCAATTGAAGCTAGACAACCATGGAAAACCTGTAAGCACTGAACGGCCGTTTTGTTCTATTTTGGGACTCCTCAGCAGTGCGCATCCATGATTCAGTGCTTCGAGGTTTCCCATGGTGGTCTAGCTTCAATTGATTCATGATTTCAATCAGTGAAATTCCTAAAATCTCCACAAAATCTCTTCTGATATTTTAGATTTGTTTCAATGTTTGTTATTTTCAATTCATTATCACCATTCGTCTAACCCTCATGCTTTGTTTGTCATTGAAACAGCGTTAATGGTTGGTCAGTTTTTTTGCTGTTGTTGTTGTTTTCAATCTTATTATCATTATTATTATTATTACCATTATGGACAGATGATAAAAAACAAATTGTTTATAATAACAATAAAAATATTTACTTGCTAATTAAGTTCTTACATTATTATTGTAATAGTTTCATTAAGAATAACTTTTAACGAATATAAATATGTGTGACATAACAATGAAATGATTAAAATCTACCAAGTCAATCAATTGTTCATTCATGTTTAATATTGTTCTACTATGTATAGAAGGTCGGTAAGAGTATTGTAAATATCTATAACCAACTTTCAATCAGTTATTAGATAGTCAGTAAAACACCGTTTGTAAGTAAATAGTTTATTGAAAAGCAAACAATAATATTACAGAATTAGTAAAGCTGCTAAAATCTTCTACGAATCACTACACTCTATGTATATTAGTGCTAAAAATAAACAATGGTATGTGAATTTGTCCACTCGTTTATTGAATACATGTCTGTCTTCTCAAACCCTTATAAAGGGATCAAGTAGACTGTTACAATCCCTATATGGTTCATTGTTTGGGTTAGAATAAACAGTTTCAGGCTACAGTTTCCATCACAAACTGACATTAGCTATGATGGGAATGTGCTCTGTGATCGTATGTATGGATGAGTGAATTTCAAGCAAAAATCTAAGAGTTGCTAACTGATTAGTTTGTCCTGTATCTATTCTAGAGTTACTGCCGGTCCCAAGCCCGGTAAAGGAGGAAGGTTGGGTATGGGGTTAGCGACCCCATCCGTAGAAAACTGACTCCCTAAAAACGCTAATCAGAAAAAAAGGACAGCTGACAGATACATTCCAAGTAAGGACCGGAGTCAGACAAGGCTGTTTACTCTCTCCCTTCCTCTTTCTTCTGGTGGTCGACTGGATTATGAAGACCTCGACATCTGAGGGAAAGCACGGAATACAATGGACAGCTCAGAACCAGTTAGACGATTTGGACTTCACAGATGACCTAGCCATCCTGGAAGATGTAGAATCCTTCACATATCTGGGAAGCATCGTCGATGAACAAGGAAGGGTGGATGCAGACGTAAAGGCGAGGGTTGACAAAGCAAGGGCCGCATTCCTGCAATTGATGAACATATGAAACTCAAAACAACTGTCTGTCAACCAATATCAAAGTGAGAATCTTCAATACGAATGTCAAGGCAGTTCTACTATACGAAGCTGAAACTTGGAGAACTACAACAACCATCATCAAGAAGGTACAAGTATTTATAAATAGCTGTCTACACAAGATACTCAACATCCATTGGCCGGATACCATCAGCAACAGCCTACTTTGGGAGAGAACACACCAGATCTCAGCTGAAAACGAAATCAGGAAAAGACGATGGAAGTGGATAGAATATACATTACGGAAATCAAACTGCATCACGGGGCAAGTCCTAACTTGGAATTCTGAAGGGAAACGGAAAAGAGGATGGCCAAAGAACGCATTACGTCGAGAAATAGAAGTAGATATGAAAAGGATGAATAGGAACTGGAAGGAGCTGGAAAGGATTGTTCAGGCCAGAGTTGGATGGAGAATACTGGTGAGCGGCCTATGATCCTCCACGAGGAGTAACAGGCGTAAGTAGATAAGTAAGTAATAAGTAACTACTCATTCCAGAATTAAGGGTTTAGGGTTAAGGCGGTGAGACTATAATTTATGAACGACCTTTGTGCGACACTAGACTGACCTTGAGGGTGTCTACCTAATAACTAGAACCAAATGAGGGTTATAAACCAGTGTGAGGAATTATAATTATGATTCACAATTGGTGGTTAAAGTTAGGAATTAGATTTAAGGTTTTCATCACGAAGTGACATCAGCTGTAATGCCAAAACTATCTAGCCAAATAGATGAGTAAATTTCGCGCCAGAGTCGGAGACCTGTCATCCTAAATCTGATTGGTACGCGCATGAATTATAGTCTTGCCGTTAATTCTTAGGAATAGTGTCAATTTTCCTGTTACAAACAATTTAAGGAGAAAAGACTACATATTTGCTGTTTAATACTCTCATTTTAATCTCGTGGTGACAAAACCTAGATATTTTTTATCACTATAAACGGTTTCAGCATTATGCAAGGATAAAGCTATTAAATAAATAAATAATTTCTATTGTTCATTATGTACTTGGTATTTGAATTTCGTTCATAAGCCCAAAAACGTTGTTCTCGACTATGATTTGCTCATCCGTATAATCTATACTTTCACCTATAAATGTATGTACTCTGTGATAATTACTAATGATTAAATACACCTATCACGATAATACATATTCACATACTTTATTCTTTGATTATAGAATTTGATTCTAACAAACTGGATAATGTGAGGTTTTGTGTTGTGTATGTTTTAAATCATCGATGACAAAACAAATTTACAGGTTAAAGGTTCACTGTTTCGAATCTGTCAGAGAGCATCAGTTCCCTCAATGTTACAGTTAAACCTTGCTGATGCGTGCCAAATAGTCCGAAATTACAGTCAGTCAGGGTTTCCTTTTTCTGGTTAGCGTTTTTTGACTATCTCCAACCACCACCTTATATCTCAACATAGTGCACCCGATGTCGAAGACATTTGATAACTTTGTGTAAGGTCTTCTAGGTTTGACTGGTGTTTTTGAATCCTTTATAACAGTTAATTAGTCTCCTGGATGGTCATCTGATCCTCCCACTGATATACAAGCTTCCCATAGGCAAGCTCAATCTGTTACTTGGATAAGTACCTAGCTTTTATAAGCCAAGCTGAACGATATATACATATATGTATTCCTCAGAAAGTTGGATTGAATCTCGATCAGTGAACTATGCTCATCAGCGTCTCCCACTTATCACTTGCCCTTGAGCGTATTAGCCTAATTGGCCCAGCGTATCACTAAATACCCCATATTCATCTTAATTATAATTATTTATTAGCGCACGACTTGTAAATTTCTATTTTTGTAGTTCTGATTTAACACCACCTCGATAGATTTCATTAAATAATTTCAGTAAATCAAATAAATTATTCTTTGTAATGTTAGACTGGTAGTGGCCACTAGATTGGTTACTGTATCTCATATTGTCAACTATTTAGCTAATCAATGACTGTTCTGTGTTTTGGATTGTCAAAAAAATCCAGATTGTTTTAAAACAGAAACTGGATTGACTTTTGAATGATGAAACCTAACCACTAACATTCTTAAATAAAATGATGTATCTTCGAATTCTTTGATGAATCCACTAAGTAGTAGTAGTGGAGATTTGTAACTGAGATGGATGATTTTGATAGAGTTTTTGCTGATGATATTGTTCACAATTGTTAGGTATGCTGAGGAATATACCAATCATTATCATGTTAAGTCTAATGATGTCCTTGGACTGTAAATGGGCATTCCCTATTGGCCATTATTTATTTCACTCGTTAAATATTGTACAGATGTTGTTTTCTATTTTTATGGTACGATGTGGTCTGTTTGGTTGGTATATAAACAGAGTATGTTTGAAATATAACGATTCATAACTCAGAGGCTGTGACTTGTGTTCTAGGCTCAACTGGCTGGGCTAGACAGGGAAGCGGGATCAATCAGGACACTAGGTCGTCTTTACATGTTTTATGTGTCCACTGTAATCGATCGATATAAAACGCTGCTCCATAAAAACCTGCAGTCCACACGTTACAACAACAATAACACTGAAAGGTCCACGATCAAACCATCCAGCTCAGAGAACAAAACTCCATCAATAGTAGTTGTAGTAGTAGTATTGCACTGTATAATTTTCTACTCGTCTAAAAACCACCTTTTTCAGAACGGTAATATTGAAATGAATCATTACAATCTTATTACTATTGTACTGTTTGTTATTATTTTCCTCAAACTTCTTATATCAAGGTGGTCCACAAACGCATCCATTACTTACAACAACAATATCTGCACAGCAGCAATCGCAGCATCAAATAAACTCAAATCATTAGTTATGCGATTAAATATCAGTTAGTGAAGGTATACACTATGTGTGCGTGTTTATTTATTTTGCTTGTTAATCAGGTTGAATTTGTGCCGCATTTCTAACCAAAAAAATGAATAACTAACTTAAGTTTTATTCTTGTCATTTACATTCTGGTTGCTCTCTTAACTTGATTTGTTTTATCGAGTACATCATTTTCTTCGATTCATGATTCCTTTTTTGCCATATTTTCAGTGTGTAAATCTCGGTGTATATCATATCAGATATTCATCTCTTGTCACGGTTACATTACTTAACACTTGTGTTTGCTATCCTGTGTTTTCCCGGATTAACCACAATTATTCACGCTGATTTGGTTTTCACACCATATGCTCTTTTCACTACTGTGCTTTTACGAGTGATAAATTTAAGCTGTTCTTGTATCCATTTATTGAATTTCATTCTAATCATGTAATAATTATGTTGATTTGAAAAGTTGGATCCACATCTACTGTTATCATTGTCATTATCTATTGCTTGCTTTAATTATATACTAAATATTGACCAACAATAGAATCCTATTTAAACTAGATCGTTAAACTAATTAGATAAAATTATAATGTTATTTGTTTTGTGCAAATTGGTTGAAAGAAATCGAACAATGTAATCAACCATACAAGCTACCTCATAAAACCTAGTTCCAGAGCCTACATTCAACTGTTCCAACTATCAATTACCACTAAAACTGCGCGGATTGTAATATTGATACACTTAGATTAATAAAACTCGATTAGCACCGTAGAAAGAATATTGTCATATTGGTTATTAAAGAATCAATTTGTGATGTAAATTTTGTTTTACAACGAGAAATCAGTCGCAAACCGAATAACTTGATACTAACTTCCTGAACTGTAACATTACATGACTCAGATTAGAATGTTCGAGTCGACGTCCATTCCTTTGAGATTGTAGATATTGGCCTTGTTACTGAATTCTGACATTCAATAAGTTAACGTTCAGCGGAGCTCCCTGCGGCCTGCCTCCTACTACATTACTTATTCATTACTCATGGAAGGTGTTTGTATTATTTTTTAAACCCTGCAGTAACGAACACTTCTCGTCATACCTGAAATGGTTAATCAATTGAGTAATTTATTACACAATAATGCTTAGCATAATTTATTGATTGACGCTCAAATTTGTCTAGATAATTAATTCCTCTTGACAACCGATTAATTATCGAATAGATTGATGATTGTGACTAGTAGTGGAATCCAGGACACTGCATTTTGTCCTATTAGGGATTTGTCTGGATATGGTTGGAATCTACTGCTAGTTACCATCCATCTGTTCCATTGGGGATTAACCTTAGCTGAATTTAATCAAAGTTGACTGGCTCGTATAGGGAAAGAGACACCTAATGATGTACAACTTAATTTGTTTATTTATGTGCATAATTACACTTACATTTTGCTTGCGCTTATAGATGTGTCACTAATAAAATTATGCTGTTTTTTCATGTATAAAGGTAAGAACGCTATGTAAGCCTATTTCCGCAATTTACGTTTAGACTATTCTTCGATGTGCGTGTATATATGGACTTAATTGTTTACTATTACTATTATTTTTACAGGTTTCTTGTGTCAGAGAGACTGAAAGCTATTAATTTATATTACACAAGAAGTAATAGTAATGTTAATTAGTAAACTAAACATTGAACTGGCCAATGTGTGTTTTCCTCCATTTTTATGGGATTCCATTTTTTGATCTCTTCAGACTATGTGTGGCTGTTAATGGATAAAATGTGTTTGAATATAAAACATTTACCATTCTATAGAGTTTAATGTTAAATGATAGTGTTTACTTTATCAATCCAACAAACGCCGTTGCAAATTGATCACAGTTGAAATTGTACTAATGGACTTGATGGTCATAGGTCCGACCGTGATGATTTTATGGATGTATACCCTACTGAAGAGTATTCCAATGCATATTAGGGTAAAACAATCGTCCGATACTTCCTGATTTTTGTGTCATTCCAATCTGTAAGGAGTACGATCCACCTAGATGTTACTAACCCCTGAATAATAAATATTAATAATAGTATTAATAAATTCACTTGATTTTGTTTGCTTGTATCTTCCCATTGTTATTTAGGACTGCAGTTGACTAATCTCTTGTTGGCATATGTGCATCTTGTACGGATTCCCTCGATATTGCCTTAAGCCAGGGAAGTCCTACTCACTGCCTTCTCGCACCACGGGTGTTGTTTACGAAATTGAGAGGACGAAAAGCGAATGTCCAGCGCTTTAACCAGATTCTAAACCAATGGTGCACATGGGCTCCAGTATCCTGAAGGAACAAACGGCGTATGAACCAATTATTGGTCACCGGCATCCATGGGACTGCATCTTACGATGCTCCACTGCCTTGTGGATCAGACCTTCAGGTCGAAGGCTTGGGGAGTGGCCCTCTAAGAGAACCACCTATCAGGACTCAGTAGCTGAGTAGATAACGCGGTAGCGTTTGAATAGAACGGTACTGGGTTCGAGCCCCTGAGTGATCACCAACTCTGGGATGCAGGCACACCCAGATTAGGAGTCCCAAATGGGACGAAACTCGCGCCCTAAATTCCACTGCTAGCTGTCATCCACCTTTGCCTATAATAATAACAATAATAATAGCTATTACTATTGTTGTGATAAGTTCAATGCGAGTCATATTGATACTGCACTACATTTTACTCTATAACTGTTCAAAATGACCTACGAAAGTAGGAAAAATGTGTAAATTGCTGCTTTTTAATCACAGGTCTCTTCTAATGACTTCTTGTGTGTGTCATGAAACGATCGAGTCAATAGTGCTGACGTTAGACATAGGATACTAAATAAATTTAACGGACCTGTTAGTGGGATTGCAAATCTTCATCTACTGAGGTGGTTCGGACAAGTAGTATGTTTGCAAAGCTACCCAATATCTCGACCTTCGTTATTAGAGCTTGTATTAGGATTCTGTTGTAACAAAGCTATAGGTGACCGAACCAAAATATGGTCTCAATTTATGAAGTCATTCACTGACCGTCGGTCTGAGCCATGTTGTTAAATGTAGATTACTTGGTTAATAAGGTCCATGAGATAACTGCGATCAATGGTTGGAGACCGTTGGCTATGTGGCTTAGAATTATTTACAATGGAGATAATGTTTTCAATCTTGACTTCACTACTATTTCATTATCTTTTTTATTTCATCTTTTCGGATTATTTCAACTTATTAACTACTCAAGTTTAGATTTATCCCACTGTACTTATGCTGTAAGAAATTTTTAGCTAAGACATTTTTGTGTCAAGCCTTAAGATGAGAACGACTGACTGATTATCAAGTTTAGTGTTGGATTGGTAGATATGTGTGGTATATTTATCTTATCCAAAAAAAACAAACAAATTTATTATGTTTTGTCTGCGTAGTTGATGTTACTTATCATATAGCAGCATATAATTACTGTGTTCGCTTAGTGGTTAGTCCTCTCTATATCATCTGCGGCCCTTTCGATTTACTCTACGAATGAATAAAAAACGAAATCTTAACGCCTATCAACCCTGGATCTACATCCAACCTAGTGTCCAATCAGAAGTTGAAATTAACAAGCAGATAGCTTTCTCTAGGCTGTAATGTACAGATGACCTTTGGGCGATGCTAAAGTGACCTCGGAAAATTTCAACTACTTACTAGGGTCAAAATAAGACCATGAATTAACTAGTTAGAGAAATTAAGTCAAAGAACTTAAAGACCGGAATTAAAGTAGAAATTTTCATCACAAACTGACATCATCTATAATGTCAAAATGTTACTAAGCCCATATTATGGGTAAATGAATTATGCTCAAAAATCCAACAACTATATGAAGTTTGATTGGATCATCCATAAATAATGGTTCTCCAAAGGTATATAATAATAATAATAATCTGTAAGATTTTTCCCAAGTATTACAGCTGTTACAACATTCGCATGTTCGTAAGTAAAACAAATAAGTCAGTGATTTATACTCTAGTTTTCTAGTTTTTCTTCTTTCTCTTAAACTAGTATAATGATCGGTCAGCTGATGAGATCTAACCCGTGATGCGAAATAATGTATGACTAATTATTCTATACAAATGGTCACTAATATAATATTTTTCCATCATTTTCATTGTATAATATGTTATTTTATTGTCAAGTTATTTGTTGAGTTTTTTCTGTAAAGACCATCAGCCTATCCGAATCAATAATTGAGGCTTTCTGGTTCTGGCGTAAAAACTAAATATCCTGTATAACAATAAGTAGTAATACGTGCTGAAAGCGTTAAAATGATTGTTCAAATTAATTTATACCACCTTAGAATGAAATGATAATGTCAAACATGTCAAATGATCAATTCTGTTTCTGTGGTTCGTTGTACCATCCTAACTCCAAGCCCTTAATTCTAAAACAAATAATAACCTATTGAGATCATATTTTATGGACGAACTAATCAGTTAGCAACTCTTGGATTTTTGCTTGAAATTCACTCATTCATACATACGATCACAGAGCACATTTCCATCATAACTAATGTCAGTTTGTGATGGAAACTGTAGCCTGAAACTGTTTATTTTAGCCCAAACAATGAACCATATAGGGATTGTAACAGTCTACTTGATCCCTTTATAAGGGTTTGAGAAGACAGACATGTAGTCAATAAACGAGTGGACAAATTCACATACCATTGTTTATTTTTAGGACTAATATACATAGAGTGTAGTGATTCGTAGAATACTTTAGCAGATTTACTAATTCCGTAAAATCTGTTTATACTTTGTAATATTATTGTTCGCTTTTCGATAAACTATTTACTTACAAAGAGTGTTTTACTGACTATCTAATAACTGATTGAAGATTGGTTATTAGTTATTTTAAGCTCATCCCTATATTATGCTATTGCTCTTTTTTCCTTAATCACATCACGAACTGATATTGACAGGATAATCATTGAAGACCAATAAGCACTGAACTGCTCTTTCATCCTAGTTTGGAACGTACGAGTGGAGAGTGCGCATCCACGACCCCACCATAGGGGAGCCAAACCAGTCCTTTTTAACTGAATCCCACTAATGGTCAGGACACAGACCTAATGAATATGAGCACAAAACATCAAACATTTTGTGTATACATCTTTTGTATTATTTAGTACGGATTTTTATGTATGTGAAATGACATTGTTTAACACAACTGGTGTATCCAACTAATATCACTCTGCTTCACTTACACAACACATCAATTCTAACGTACTATTATTATTGATATAGAATAGATAGGGTGTGTAATCTAGCACTCCCGTTTCGTCCTATTCGAAACTCGTCAGCTGGATGTACCTGTATTCCAGAGTTGATGCCAACCAAGACTAATCGAATTTCAGCAAAAAAATATTAGCAACAGGATCGTTCAAATGATCACAAGATATTATTATTATTATTGTTATTTTATCATTATTATTACTGTGAATTCTAGATGGTGCGATCGAAATCACCAGTTTGTACAGTACACCAATAGCCTCATTTGATACATTTCTTGTCATTGTTATAGATCGTCGCCAAGATTTCGATTAATGCACATAGATAATAATAACAATAATTACATAATCATTTAAGCTTTTATCATTATCTAAAAATTAGTCTTACATACATTAAACAGATTCGTAGCTTGTGTTATTTTATCTCATTAGAAATATACAACAACAACAAGATATTTGCACGCGTAATGTTTTCTTCTTATTACTAGCTACTATTACTACTGCTACCAATGATAGTAGTTGTTGTATAGTTAGCATTATTGGAGTATATATATTGTAAGCATGGTTCTGTTATTGTTTTTTTTTTCTCTTCCCTATAGAGGAATTTTGTTTCTTCTCATTGATTTGCCTCACTCCACTACCCTCAGTTGCGTATGCGTTTGTAATCTAGTAAGGAAACAGAAGAACCACTTGTATATATTCTCACTGTAATCACAAATTATGTATATAAATATGTGTATACACATATATATGCAATATTTATTTAAAAAAAAAAAAGTCAAATGTAAAAGGCGGATTTTCAATATTTGGCTTTGTTGTTGTAGTGAATAGGCGTAACCCTAAGGTCATTTATTGGTTAGAATGAATATCTGCTATAATGATACAATTGATATTTTCAAAATATATCAGATGTCTCAATCATTAAGATTTTAGCAATTATAGTTGTATTAATTCAGTTACAACTTCTATAATGAATCCTTTTATCGATTAAATATTCTCAGTGATTACATATATATATATATATATATATATATATATATATATATATATATATATATATATATATACGCGATACTTTTTCATTTTTCTAAATATTAACCATCACTTATATAATGCTTAGTTTTATTGATTTTTGCATAATTGTAAGGCCTTTTTTAATGTCGAGATTGTAATTATTGAGGTATGACAATTATGTGTTCTATCGTTTAAAACAGTATAGGTGATTTGTGAGGATTATTGAATGTTATCCAAGATCATGAACCAACCTAAGTTAAACAACCATTAAGAATCTGTAAACATTGAACAATTGTTATGTTCTAATATGGGACTGCTCAGTGTCAGTTGACATCCACGACTCCACCGTCAAGGATCAAGCCCAAGATCTTAGGTTTAGCATGCGAACGCTGAACCTATCAACCACTGAGCCAGACTGGCATTTATCACTGAGGGATTTCCATAATCTTAGAGGAAACTATGGTGCTTCCCATGATGCTAGAACCTACATGACAACTGTTGTTTACATTCAAGAAGAGATTTTATAAGGCATATTTTTCAGCTATGGTTCTCTTGCAAAAAGCTATGAATATTTGTATCACAATGGAAATGTGTACTTTCTGTAGGCTCTGCTCAAAACAAAACTTTCGTTCGTGTTTTTTTTTAAAGCATGCATTTATTCAAGCATAAGTTATTCATAACTCATTAGTGTTTAAATATAAATTCTGATAATAGTCATCATTTATCAGTGTCTCTGCGTTCGAATGCATTACATTCTCCGGTTGAAATGAAACACTGATCAACATAATTAGTAGTACTCTTAGCAGACACGTTATGTAAATATAATTCAATTGTAGGGCCCTCGGTTCACACATGTGTGTGTTTATCATCTGAATCGACTCAACACTTTTACCATCGTTCTATTCGTCAGTATCAAATGATTGCTCTTCATCAGAGAATGGGCAATAGGTTTTTATATATTCATCTGTCTATCCTGTTCCTGTGTTTTTGTTTGTGTGACGTCGCACAAACGACGACTCGGCACAATTAGATGAATCAAATGAAATAAAAAGCACTGACGAACAGAAGATAATGATGAGGCTGGATGCTTTTCTGTTTACACTTTTTTTCTTCTTGTTATATGATTTAATTTTCTTTTTCATTATCTAATTGATACCAGTAATAGCAGTTGTGCTAGCATTACTTGTATTAGTAGTATTAGTAGGGTCATTGATTTAAGCGTGGGTGGCTGCTTGTCAGTGTTCAATATTGACAATCTGAGAGCAACCATTTGCCAAATGCGAAGTAATCGATTTCTTTAAAAGTATCACATAAATTTGATGAAATAATAATAATTATTATTATTTATCATTTATGGTTTAATCTTTATTCGAACTGAATAGATTCTATAGTTATTTCCTCATCGTCAGTGTGATCAGCTGGGTGACCAGGATCTAATCCTCCACAAAGCATTAATTCCGTTAATATTACAGGTACAACTTGCTAATGAGTCCTAAATAGCATGAAACTTAGGTCAGTCAGAGTTTCCTGTCGGCTACCTCCAACCACTATCTTACAAGGAGTAAAGCTGAAATTCGTGTTAATGTTGTGTAAGAAACTGGGAGAATAAAATATATTGCTGTTTGGATAAACAGTTCAATTTGAATGGATAGTCAAGCTTTCCACTTTTATTGTTCGCAGTAGAATTTAGCATAATATATGAAAAACTTCAACTGTTTACCTTTCCTTATAGTTGGAAAGCACATTTTTCGAACTACTTTAAACGAAATTACACCATGACGTTGACATAATCAGACATTCAACTTTGTTCCTTTGTACTATGTTAAACTCTTGTCAATGCAATTTATTATTTAATCTGAAGACGATTAATTGGCTTACACTAAGTCAGAAATCTCACAAAAATATCATTTTATTTAATACTAACTTTTCTACAAAATGGAATCATGTATGCGAAATTACCAAGTCCAAACTTGGTTACTGATTCTTGTCAAAAATCCTCTTTTTATGTGAAATATTTGTGTGCAATTTATACCCGAATATAATCTAATGTAATCTAATGTAACCTGTAAACGTAATATATATGAAGGATTTCCAAACTTACCCTTTTTATCCCTTGTGGAGCATAGGTTACCATCAATCAGGATTCTCCATCGTACTCTTTCCTGGACAATCCTTCCCAATTATTTCCAAGAGTTATTCATTCTTTTAATGTCTGTCTTCAATCCCCGACGCAATATGTTCTTTCGTCTTCCTCTTTCACTTTTACCTTCAAAATTCCGAGTTAGTGCTTGCTTCGTGATGGTTTCTACAATGTATGTCCAATCCACCTTCAACGTCTTTTCTTTATTTCCTCCTCAGATGGAAGTTGGTTTGTTCTCTGTAATAATAAGTTGTTGCTGATGCTATTTGTTGAACGGATATGTAGTATCTTACGTAGACAATTGTTTATAAATACTTGTACATTTTGATGGCGGTTGTAGTTGTTCTCTAAGTTTCAGCTCTGTACAGTAGGACTATCTTGACGTTCGGATTGAAGATTTGGACTTTGATGTTGGCTAATGGTTATTTTAAATTCGATATGTTCTTCAATTGTAGGAATTTCGCCCTCGTTTTACCAATCCATGCCTTCACATCTGCATCAGATCCCTCTTGTTTATCAATGTTCAGAAGTTTTAAGCGTACTTTCTTAGACTTATATCAATTTCTTCTTATCCCATTTAATGTTTTTACATTGTTTTCTCCATTAGTCAGTCAGCATAAAAAAATAGTTTAAATTCCATTACCTTAGCAATAGAGTTGTCAGGACATAATTCCATTTCAACTGAAATTAACTTGTTAGTTAACTCCAATTTAAATATACAAATCAATAACAGTACTTTATTTCTCTTATTTCATATCATAACATAATTGGAGCGTAAACTTTTATATCTTGTATTTCACTGATCATATTTTTTTATACACAAACTTTATATATGAAATTTATTGACAATATTTGACCCTGATTACTACTAAAGTTTTTGAGATTAACGTCGTTAGTTTTGATGTTAGAGTTGGCTGTAGGTATGGTTGAATTTTTCTGTTTAGATTGTTTTGTTTACTTTGATGGTTTATTTTCTATATAAATTTTTTTTAAAAAGATGAAATTTTTAGATGAAATTGTGGGAATTTATAGAGATTGTAGTGTTTTCACAGTTGAAAACCTGAAAGCACTGGACGGCCGTTTTATCCTAATAGTATGGGACTTCTCAACAGTGCGTGTCCACGATCCCACATACAGAACTTGAACCCAAAACCTACGGTCTCGTATGTGAACGTTTGATATATAGACCACTAGACTGGCATCCAACGGTATTGTTATCTAACTCCAATCAATCCATGGTCTTGTGGAACCCTTCATCTATTACCTGAGGTGTATAACTATGAAAATACTGCAATCTCCACAAATTCTCATACTGAAAACAACCACCTGTTCACTAGTGACTAGCTTTGAGATGTACTTCCTGATGTTCTAGTTAGAAGTCGTGACAAGTGAAGCCTGATCCGTGTTGTGGGTGTGAGACAGTTATCCATTCCAAACAATTGATGAAGGGTTCCACAAGGTCATGGGCTGATTTAACGTAGACATTAACACCTTTGAATGATATCTCAGTGGTCTGAATGTTAAGCGTTCGCACACGAGACTGTAGGTACTAGGTTAGAGTCCTGCGTCCGGGGTCGTGGAGGCGCACTGTTGAGAAGTCTCATACTATAAGGACGAAACGGCCGTCTAGTGCTTCCAGGTTTTCACTGATGGCCTAGTTTAGATAAACTCGTAGTTTCAACGGTGAAGGCGTCTTTGCAATACACAAATAAACTTTTGTTTATGTACGAAGCTGGTAAATCGATTAAACTTGAAAATGACCAATACTTTAGGAATAGAGATTATGGTTGCTTCTCTACGCTTGAAATTCTTGGGTTCAGTCACCTAAAATAAAAGACTGCCTTTGTTGTTGTAAACTGTTCCAAACTAAGTTTTCTAATGTCTGCGACTGTTTGCATTGCTAGCGGATCTTAGTCAACCAACCATTGTAAATTAGGACTTACAGGTTTATTATTTTGTCCTAGCATAGAATTTTTTATCTATGATCACTTACAACTCCATCTGGGATCGAACACTAGACTTTAAAGACTTTAATCTATTGGTCACAATCGTTAAGCGTTCATTGCTAGATCTAAAGATCATGGATTAGTCCGTAGACAGGACATAGACACTTACTGCGAAGTAGTTTCATGGAAGATTAATAATCTAAGTCTGCTTACTTTTTTTTGATGATATCACAACTAAGATCAATTTGTGACAAATACAACATATTTAAATGATTTATTTATCACATTGAATTATTGTATGATACATTGTTTTCTGCTATATTTCATATTGTATTCTATCTCTAGTCATTATGTCCTTTTGATGATCATCGTAATTGGATGACTACGTGTAATTTATAATGTCTATCTATATAATACTACATAAACTGGTAATTAAAACGTAAAACTTGGGTGGATAATTTCAGTTGAAATTAGTATCCTATCTTATCATACTCTATCTATCTATTCCCATGTGTGATCGCTTATACTAAAAATAGAAGCTCTAACATTTACTTTATTTCTTATGCTCTAATAATACGCATGCATTCGTCGTGCTTGAGGATGAATTATGTTACCTTCTTATCACTTTTAGCTAACTAACAATGATTTATTATACTAATTATTGATACTCTTATAAGAATATCCAAGTGAATCAATCATGATTTACTCTATTGATTTATGTTGTTTTCTTTTAATCTAGTAAAATTACCCTTATCTTATTTCTCTATATCTATGTTCTGTACTGTTTATTTATTCAGATAATTTTAATGAAGAAGCATCATTTCTTGGTCAATACTCTGGTAATCGTGCAATATCTAAAAATCTATTCATCATATGAAAGAAGCTTCACCAGAATTATCAACTATTGGCATTTTTAATACTACTACTAATACTACTGCTACTACTACTACTACTAATACTAGTGATAATTCTGATCTATTACATCATACTGCTGCTATGTCTACTTCTCCTAACAACCAACCTATTCATTTTATCACTCGTGAAAATCATCAAACTGCTGTGTAGTTCCATTCCATTTAATTCAATATATACTCATTTACATGTTATTCATTTCTCCTGTGTCTTTTTTTTTAATAAGCCAAACCAACACAATCACTGCTGAAGTATTAATTATTCATTTAATACTAAAACTTATTAACCATTGAAGTGCTTTTAACCAAAATCATATTTCTAGCTTTCTATATCTTTTTTTTTAAATATTATCTATCGATATAACATTATTACACTTTGTATTCCTGTCTCCTTATGTTACTTGAAGTTACCATGATAATCTATTAGTCACCAACTATCATCTACTACTCATCTTTATCTTTGTTGTATTTCTTATTCACACATTTGTATATTATCCTTTAATAGACTTTTTCTATTAACTATTTCCCCCTCCCCTTATGTTTCTATTCAATAACTGATTATCATTGATATCATCATTATTGGCTATCAGATCATGAATACAACGAGTTGACAAATTATTCCACCCCATCCCTCCCTCCCCCCCAAACATACACACACACACACACTTTGTTTGTATATGGTTGTATGCTGATTTCTTATCGTCATACAACAAAATAGACACCATAGCATTGTAATACTAGTAGTATAGATATGTATTATTCATATTTTAATGTTTCTTATCCTTTAATACAATTGTGAATTCTATTTTAGAATTGAAATCACGAGCTCTCTATATTTGTGTCTGTAACATTGAAGTTTTTTTTTCTGCCTTGTTGTATGTTGTCATATATTGATAGGATTATCTAATCATAGTTTTAATTGTGGATCTATCTCTATGCCTACGATCCGTGTCATTTCGACTATTTTCCTTTTTTTTGTTGTATTTAATCAGAAACAAAACAACACAAATACGTTAATCATGGTAATTTTTTTTCTATGCATTACCGCTTGCAAAATGATGTAATACACGTAACTGGCTGCATATTTAAATTGGCTTTATTATTTATCACTACTCCATCTTTTTTTTCCTACCTTATGGTGTTCTTCCATTCTGTTGATTACACTAGTGCTACCACTATTCTGGTTGTGAGCATATTTATATATATGTGTGTGTGTGCATGTGTGAGCTTATCACGAGTCTGCGTTGAATTGTGTTTAGTTTTTCTACTTCTCATATTCTCCTATTTTGTAATTTTTTTTTATCTCCCCTAATTTCCAAACCTTGAAGAAAAAACACTATACGCAGCTATCACAAATCTCCCATGAACGTTTTGTTATGAAGATCCATCTTTTTTATACACAAAAATATATTGTTAACATGATTATTAATTGTTGTGTTTTTTGAGTACGTACTGATTTTGATTGAGTCGTGAGTCGTTACTTCCACTGAGGAAAACAGTCTCATACTAGAGGTGAAACAGCTATGGAGTTTTCAATAGCTGTTCAACTAACATCAATACTTGATTTTCGTCATTGAAAACCTTATTATATTACTTAAAATGAATTTAACTACAGACGTATATCTGGCTACAGTAAATCATGATTTATTCCATTCGAGTGTATATGTTGGTGAAAAAAAAATTAACATCCTATTGAGAAAGATTTCTTCCATCGTCTTAATTTTTCCTTCACATGTATTAAGAATATATGAACGATGGCTAGAAGTGAATTTCACTACGTCGGTTTCGTTGTATTTAGGACTTACCACCTGAATGTATATGCTGTAAACGTGTACTTGATTCAAACCAAAAGAGGTTTACTCTAAAACAACAACGCGTTATCCACTGATTTAATATTTATATAATCATTGGTAATGGTTTTATTTATCTTGGAGTTATCTCATTGTCTAGTACATTCAACATTGAGCCTAAAAGCGTTTTTGGTAAGCGTTTTTTTTAGCGAGTTAGTTTTCTACGGGATGGGGACGCTAACCCCATGCCCAACCCTCCTCCTTTACCCGGGCTCGGGACCGGCAGTAACTCTAGAAGAGCTACAGGCGGAGTTATTGAGCCTAAAAGTCTCTTATTATTTAAGCAAACTGGTATCAATTGTATTAAATTAACTCCTCAAAGTGAACATTTTGTAGATTTTATCAATTCTCACATCCTAACATTCGTCCATTATTTAAATATGTTAAAATGTGCTTTTTATTAACTACTTATCCACCTACTATTTATTGCAGAATTCTAAGATTTATGAAGTCAACTAACCCTAATGGGGAAAATTATCATCTTTTTTTATGAGAATAAAATAAATTATGAATGTGAATAATGAGTTTTGAGTTGTGAAATGAATGAATTAAACCAATGTTAATCAGTCGATCGAGTATAAAATGCAGCGTCATGATGGTTGCTCAGGAAGAAAAAGATTATTGACTCAAACCTTCAAGGACGAGTAATTCATCAGAAGAATAAGATTTTTATCCAATGAAATAAATGATTATTAGCTAAATTAGGTGATTAGATGGCATAAATGATTGGTGGATATCACATTTTGTAGGTCATTCGCTCTCACCAATCAGATAAAAGCAAACTGTAAATTATTGCTCATCATATTATTGCATCTTTATTACAATTCACAAATTTACTAAACTTGTATTAAAATAATTTTAACTTTTCATTGAGCCTATGAATCAATCAATGCTAGATCACTATTGAAAACCTGGAAGTACTGGACGGCCGTTTCGTCCTACTACAGGACTCCTCGGTGGCAGTGGACGTCCACGATCCTGCGGGTGAAACTCTAACTTAGGACCTTCGGTCTCGCACTCTAGTAATTTATAATCTGACTATTTAAATAAACACTTAATATCTCAGAAATAAAATTGCGTTTATTTCGAGTTATTGACGCATTACTTACCACCACAGTGAAATGAAGATAAACAAGCCTAATGATATTTCAAAATACCGGTTTTCTTTTAACGAAACTCCGATACTTAATTACGGTACGTATAATAAAAAACGGCAAACTGGTCAGAACGTTTGATTTCTATAATCATTGGTAAATTATGGTGATGCGTACACTGAATAGTATATACGAAACAACTGATATCAGTGTGTAGGTTATTTGATCTTCCGATTGTATGTGAACTCCTCAATCAGATACATTAGTAGTGAATACAGTTGCGAAATTAACTATAGTTTTTTTTATAAAGTGACCAACACTCGATTACATAACGTTAATACTGGGAATGCTCAAGTAAACTTAACCAGTCACAAATAGAATGAAGTTCACTCTCTGAGTTCCTCAGTTTGTTATTTTTTTCATGATGAACTGTCATCAACTGGAGATCCAGTGACTAATAATTAGTTGTTTTCTCCAACTACGGGACTCCTCGACAGTTCATACTCACAACATCAACCTTTGAACCTTCACATCAGGATAGTCACTATAACATTGAATAACTGCCGATATTCAACTTCAGCTTATAGCGAATTATTAGGAATTGTAAATAATGAACTGTGGGGCCCGTCATTTTGTCGTCGTTTAGATCGGATGATGTTTGTTGACGGGCTCTCCACTTCAGTGGTCCGTGGATCTGACTCTAATTAGATCGTATAGAATGTTTGTTATCGCCTATCCTCGTATATAATCATCGACTTAAATCGCGTTAGTCAATAACGGAATTATATAAGTCGAATAACGAGAATGGACTTTTGAATACATATATTTTGTGTATAAAGCGAACGGAATAAAGAGATGAGAAACGACGCAGAGTGGAGAGGGTTGGTAAGCCAACTGCCATTTAACCAAGCGTTAATCAATATTTATAGTTACACAAAAGTAAGTTACAGACATGTGATGAGTAATGGGATAAAAAATGTACACACCACCTACGCGCTCATATAAAACAGTCAAGATTGATAAGCGAATAAATAACAAGGTCAGAATTTGACTCAAGTAGAGTGAATAGAATGGGCTGTCCGAAAGCTAGAATAAAGTATATGGGCTTAACATAATAACCGATACTACAGGACCATACTTTCTAATTTTAACTATTAGTCATTTAAAGTTGGTTTATGATACTAATTATTTTCAAAATTGTTAAAAAGCGATCAAGTTATCTAGTTTTTAGTTCTAATATGTGAGTTCTTTGTTTAACAAATAACTTGGATGATATTTTCCTGATTTCTATTTCTACAATAAAATTTGCTGTTGCCGTGTTGGTTGGCATCACTTTTACTACATAAACACGGTTGTCCATTCACAATTTTCTTTACTTTTATATGAACTATAAGGCTACTTTGGAATTCCCACCTTCTCTGTCCTATAGTAGCATACTGATCTTTAACGTTAAAATATTGTTATGTGACAGACATCCGATTTATTCAGGTCCTTATTCATTGCTCTGTATCATAAGAATCATCAATTGTTCGTAGAATTTACCGTAAGTCAATCAAAAACCCTAATAAACATAATTACTCTCAATAAGATCCAACAAAAATATCCAAAAAACACTAAACAAAACCCACGTTGTTTAGTATCCCTAGATTTCTAGTAAAAAGTTGTGGCTGGTGAGATTCAAACAAATACAATATAAAATAATTGTTACCAGTGAAACTGGATGATCACCATACTACATTGCAAATCCATTGAAGCTGATTTTGTACCACTGGATGCCGACCAAGAGGTTCTAGGTTCGAGCTCTGACGGGACTATGAGTATGCACTGCTGAATACGATTGTACTAGGACGAATCGACCATTTCGCACTTCTTAGTTTTCGATAGTACCCCAACCAAGATTAATTTTAAGACATATATGTTATCCTTTAAAAATAATTTGATAATTAATGTCTATCCAACTTTTACTATGCACTATTTTTCTAATACATAATTAATATCAGAAAGGGGTTTTGTGGATATTATAGTAATTTTAATAGTTGAGATCATGAGTCAATTGAAGCTAGACCACCACGGAAAACCTGGAAGCACTGGACGGCCGTTTTGTTCTATTGTAGGACTCCTTAGTAGGCCTCAACATACACAAGGGGAAAACCAAGGTCCTCAAATACAACACGGAGAACAGCAATCCAATCACTCTTGATGGCGAAACT